ATTTCCCCCTTCTTTGTCCCCGAGAGAATTCCTTCAATGCACTTGGTGAATAGAAAACCAAAATTCACTCTTCGCCCCAATTCCGGCTTTGTAGCTAGCCACAAAATTCGGATCTCTTCAGCGGTGATCTTTCCCAAGTCATGCTTATTGAAAACCATGTACCCAAGTATTCGGTGAAGAAGTCTGATAGCGGGCTGCATGATTTGACAGGCCAATGAATATTTGGCATTGAAGGCATCCATCATCGAGATGCATTTCCACCACTCAAGGGGGTTATAATCATGAAGGGACTCGTGCTCCAGGAAGAACATGTCGGCATCAGGGTTAAGGTCGAGTAGTTGGTTAAATTGGAGAAGGTTTATGGTTTTTTTATTAAAGAGATGGTGAGGTCCCTTTATCCTGCAGCGTGGCATTCGAAAGAGGCTAGAAACTCGAGAGTGAGCTCTTTGTATGTTCGGTAAGCACTTGACACAAAAGAGCCTAGCCTTAGATTGTTGAATAGGAACCAAAAGTCGTCATCGATGTCAAGCTTGGTTGTAGTTGGTTGGTGGTAATTTTTGGTGGGTCAAAACTTGCGATTTTGCAAGTTGCGTAGATGGTTTTGTGATTTTTGTTGTGAAATTTGAGAGGTGGCAAAGGTGGTGGTGGTTGTTCTTCGTTTTGGGGGTTTTGGGAGGTAGAACTTTGGGGTCCCTTCCCACTCTTTCTCTTCTTTCACCCAAACACCATTTTGACAGTAATCAAGCTCAATCAAATACAACTTAATCTACCCAATTCAACAAGCTTTCACAAATACCACACCTTGAACTTCACTCAACAACACCAAACAACCAATAATACTCTCCAAAAATCAACAATGACAGCAAATAATTAACAAATAACCAAGCTATGAAGACAATACAACATGAATCGGCATTTAATCATCAAAAATTTTCAAACAACATCTAAAGAACAACAATGTTTCTCATCAAGAAATTACTCCAAATTTTAATTGAAACTAAAGAAAAAGTAAGATATACCAACATAGAATGATCATACTCCACTCCACTAGCCCTTTTGAAGAAGAAATTTGAGCTACCTTCAAGAAATCAACAATGGAGCCCCAAAAGAAATCCGCGAGAAAATGCCCCGTAGCAAGCCTTGAATGGTAGAAATTCCGGATTTTTGATGAGGAAACCGAAGGAAAATGAAGAAATTTGATGATTTTATGATGAATTTGTGATGAAAATTGATGGATTTAAGAGGTTTGAAGGTTAGGGTTTGAAGGGGATGAAGCTAGAGAGAGAATTAAGAAGGAGATGTCGAACTGGGAAAAATAAAAGAGTGTGAAAATGCTATTAAAATTTCAGAGAAAATCGCAAACCCGCAGTGTCGCGTCCGCAGGCTTGAATGTCGCGCCCGCGGGTTTATATACCGCGCCCGCGACACGTAGACTGCGCCCGCTCCTAGGGCGCGGTGAGGCATCTTCAGAATGTTTTGAGGGGGCTTACTCTTCTTGTCTGTGCTCGCGGGTCTTTCTGTCCGTGCCCGCGGGTTTAAGTGTCGCGCCCACGGGCCTTTGGTGAAGGCTTTTCCTTGGTGCACTTCTCCTTATAGCTCTTGAAACATAAAATTCGACCCTTCCTTCTTTCATAACTCCATCTTGACTCTTCAAAAGGACTCCCTTGAGATGAAAACATCCTCAAACCTTAATCCACAAAAGTATTGCCCAAAAATTCAAGTACATACAAAATAACAACCAAAGATCATAAGACACAAACACTTAAAAGAAATCAATCAAAAACGACCAAATAGAGGAAATAAAGAAAATAAAGAGTGGAGAACTCGAGTTGCCTCCCGAGAAGTGCTTGTTTACGAGGTCACTAGCTTGACCATGAGAAATTATCATCCAAAGGGTGGCTCAAGATCCATCGGATCAAGCCTCATACATTCAATCAAGCCAACTTCTTCCTTGCAAAAGTAGTGCTTCAAATGATGACCATTAACCATGAACTTGTTGTCACCCGCCTCTAACTCAAAAGACCCATAAGGAGTAGTCCTTGAAATTACAAAAGGCCCCGACCATTTGGATTTGTGCTTTCTGGGAAACAAACGAAGCCTAGAGTTGAACAACATAACCTTGTCCCCAACCTTGAAGCTCTTGTTCCTTATATGTTGATCGTGTCATTCTTAGTTTTCTCCTTGTATAGCTTCGAGTTCTCGTAGGAATCATATCGAAGCTCCTCAAGTTCATTGAGCTTGAGCAATCTCTTCTCACCGACCAACGACATATCCATGTTAAGCTCCTTGATTTCCCACCAAGCTTCATACTCCAACTCAACCGGCAAATGACAAGCCTTCCCATAGACCAACCGATAGGGGGTTGTACCAATTGGAGTCTTGTACGCCGTCCGCAAGGCCCAAAATGTGTTGTCAAGCTTAAGGCATCAATCCTTCCTAGACTTGTTCACTATCCTTTCGAGAAGGTTCTTGATCCCTCTATTTGACACCTCCACTTGCCCTTGAGTTTGAGGATGATAAGGTAGACCAACTTTGTGATGAACTCCATACCTCTTGAGAAGAGCCTTGAAATTTCTTCTTGGCGAAATGAGAACCTCCATCACTAATTAGCACCCTAGGAACCTCAAACCGCGAAAATATAATTTTCCTGAGAAGTTTAAGTACAACCTTATGATCATTGGTAGGGGAGGATATAGCTTCAATCCACTTAGTCACATAGTCCACCGCTACCAAGATATATAAATTCCCACATGAAGAGACAAAAGGCCCCATAAAGTCGACACCCCAAACATCAAAAGGCTCAACTTCCAAAATATTTTGTTAAGGCATTTCATCTCTTTTGGTTATGCCACCACTTCTTTGGCACTTGTCTCATCTTGAAACAAACCTTTGGGCATCCTTATGCATCGTCGGCCACCATAGGAGAGATTGAGAAATCTTTCCCACCGTCTTATCAACTCCCCCATGTCCTTCACATGGCAACGAGTGGCAATGCTCAAGAACTCCTTCGATTTCATGGTCCGGAACACATTTCCGGTAAAGGCCATCTCCACACTGTTTAAACAAGTAGGGGTCATTCCAAAAGTACCTCCTCACTTACTTGAAAAACCTCTTCTTTTGTTGAGAAGAAAACTCTGGGGGAATGACCCCGCAAGCAAGATAATTGGCTATATCCGCATACCACGGGCTAGATGTTGAAGCCATAACCATGAGAGTTTCAAATCCTACTTCTTCATTGATTAGCACATCCTCCTTGTTCTCAAAAGGAAGCCTAGACAAATGATCCGCCACATAGTTCTCCGCTCCCTTTTTATCTCTCATCTTCATGTCAAAATCTTTGAGCGAAAGAACCGAACGGATGAGGCGTGGCTTAGCTTCCTTCTTGGTCATAAGATACCAAACCGCTATGTGATCCGTGTACACAATCACCTTGGAGAAAATAAGATAGGACCTAAACTTGTCCATGGCAAACACAACTGCAAGCATTTCCTTCTCCGCCGTTGTGTAATTTTTTAGAGCTTCATCAAGTGTTCTACTTGCATAATAGACATGAGATATTCCTTCTTTCTTTTGCTCGAGCACTGCACCTACTGTAAAATCACTCGCATCGCACATTAGCTCAAAAGGCAAGCTCCAATCCGGAGCTTGCACAACGGGAAAGGAAATGAGAGCTTCCTTGAGTTTTTGAAATGCCTCAAGACAAGCCTCATCAAAGTTAAACATAACATCTTTCTTGAGTAATTCGGTAAAAGGTTTGGCAATTAATGAAATTTTTTTGATAAACCTCCGATAAAAAACCGACATGCCCTAGAAAAGCTCTCACTCCCGTAACGGAAGTACGAGGGGGCAACTTTGCAATCACTGAAACCTTGGCCGAGTCAACCTCAATGCCCTTCTTTGACACTTTATGGCCTAGGAAAATTCCCTCCTCAACCATAAAGTGACATTTCTCCCAATTTAAAACCAAACTCGTCTCTTGACACCTTTTCAAAACTTTTTCAAGATTATAAAGGCAAGTGTCAAAAGACGAGCCACCAACGCTAAAATCGTCCATAAAAACTTCAATCTCATTTTCAAGCATTTCCGAAAAAATGGAAGTCATGCATCGTTGGAATGTTGAAGGAGCATTACATAACCCGAATGGCATTCTTCGGTACGCAAATGTTCCATATGGGACATGTGAAAGTAGTTTTCTCTTGGTCATTTGGGTGGATAGGGATTTGGAAAAATCTGGAATATCCATCTAAGAAACAAAAGAAAGCATGGTTAGAGAGTCTCTCCAACATTTGGTCCATGAAGGGGAGAGGAAAATGGTCTTTCTTTGTATTTTTGTTCAACTTCCTATAATCAATACACATTCTCCACTCGGTTACCGTCCGGGTGGAGATTTCCTCTCCTCCTTCTCCCTTGACGATGGTCATTCCACCTTTCTTTGGAACCACGTGAACCGGGCTAACCCACTTGATATTGGAGATAGCATATATTATGCCCGCTTCACGCAATTTCAAAATTTCCTTCTTGACAACCTCTTGGAGGTTGGGGTTCAACCTCCTTTGAGGCTCATCGAGGTGGATTGATCATCCTCAAGATGAATACGATGCATGCACAAAGAGGGGCTAATACCCTTGATATCATCAATGTTATACCCAATCAGATTTCTATATTTTCTCAATACAACAAGCAATTTTTCCAAATCAAGACCATCAAGGGTAGCATTGACAATAATAGGGTATTCCCCTTCATTTCAAAGAGGGGGGGAGGGGTTTGAGTCCTACCGTGGGAGGAGGCTTGGAACTCTCCTCCATTTTCTCCTCTAGTTCAAGCTCTTCTTTATCCTCTTGTTGTTCATGGTCTTCCTCCATTTGAGTTTCCTCCATGGCCATGACAAACTCTTTTGCTTCTTGAGAGTGATACTTTCCTTGCATGTAAGAGCTTTTGGATCTTGAGGCTTCATCATAACCCTTCCCAATCGATCCAACTCCTCATTCACAACATCAACCCTATAGGAATTTTTCAATCATGGGGGTCTTGAGCAACTTAAAGAACTCAAACACAATCTTTTCATCGGCAACCTCACATGTAATGGTGTTGTTCTTGCAATTGATCACCGCCCCCAAAGTCTTAAGAGCTTCACGACCCAAAATCAAAGGAGTATCAACATCTTCTTCCATATCCATCACTACTAAATCACAAGGCACATAAATATTCCCAACTTGAATAGGAACATCTTCAAGCTCACCACAAGGCAACTTCACCGAACGGTCGGCCAATTGGATAGTATTCCTTGTAGGGATCATTTCAATGTTAAGCTTTTGAGCAATGGATAGAGAAAAAAACTAACACTCGCCCCAATATCGGCTAAGGTGCCCCTAGCTTCCATGTTCCCAATCTTCACTAGCAAAGTAAAACTTCCCGGATCTTTTTGCTTCTTAGGAATCTTATGTTGAACAAGTGCACTCACTTGATGGGGAAGAGTGATAAGATCATCATTGAGATTCCTCTTGTTGGTGAGAATATCATTGAGGAACTTGGAGTATGAAGGCATTTGTGTGACAACTTCGATGAAAGGGAGGTTGATGTGCAAATTCTTCATCATACTAAGGAACTTTGCAAACTTGTCATTCAACTTCCTCTCCGCAAGTTGACTGGGAAATGGAACCGGCCCATCAAGATTCCTAGCTTCACTAGGAGTGGAAGTTGTATTCTCATGTTTAAGATTCTTCTTCTCCATGCTTCTTTCTTTCTCTACAACTTTCTCTTCTTCAACTTTCTTGTCTTCACTCACACTCTCTTCTCCTTCCTTCTTTTCCTCACTATCCCCCTCCTTAGGACCCTCATAAGATGTACCCGATCTCAATGTGATTGCCTTGCAAGAGTCGGGTTTCATAATGTTGGAAGGGTTAGTTTGTGATTGTCCGGGTAGAGTAGAAGGTGAGTTGAAAGGGACTCTCTCGGCCAATTGAGCTAGTTGTGAATCAACCATCTTGTTATGAGCCTTGACCTCTTGCATTTTCTGATTCATGGCTTGAAGTTGTTGAAGAATTTGGGTTTGAGTAGAATCGGGTTGAGATTCTTGCTCTTGACTCTTTTGAGCCGCTTGATTTTGATTGTGGTAATGGTTTTGATTATTGTGTTGGTTGTTTCTTGGGTAGTTTCCTCTTGGGTTTTGGGATTGAAATGGAGGTGGGTTTTGGTATTGAGGGTCGGAGTTGTATGATTGTTGAGCTTGTTGATTCCATTATTGAGGTTGGTGAGCAAATCCGGGTGGTGGTTGCCTCCAAGCTACTCCACCGCCACTTCCCCTATATCCATCTTGCCTTGTGTTGTATGTCGGCACATGCTCGGGGCTCAAACCTCCACAATAAGATGTATCGTGGTTCGTTCCACCACAATTTTGACAAGTGAACAAATTGATTTGAGAGGAGCTTGCCCCACTATTGACACTCGTATTCAACTTTGCAAGCCCTTTTGTCAAAAGCTCAATTTGATGTTGCAATTGATCAACCTTCTCCGATTCATATTTTCCACCCTTCTTTGGTGCATTCCTCCTTCTACCACCTCAAGAGTAGTTCTTCACTACCTCTTCAATTGTTGTTTCAACTTGATTTTGGGGGACCTTAATCAATTGGCCGCCCGCCCCTGCATCCAAGTTAGCTCTAGACATAGGTTTCAATCCATCATAGAAGAATCGCATGAGCAAGCTTTGATTGTATTCATGGTGAGGACATGCTTGTACAAACTCTTGGAATCTTTCCCAAGCTTCACTAAGACTCTCATCCGCTTCTTGTTCAAATGATGTAATCTTCCTTCTCATCTCGGCGGTCTCTTCTGCAGAAATGAACCTCTTCAAAAATGCCTTGACTATATCTCTCCATGTTGTAAGAGAATTTGGCTTAACTTGTTTTAGCCACTTCTTTTCCCTACTCGAAAGAGATTGTCGAAATAAGTGCATACGGATGTATTCTTGAGAAACTTGATTGGTTTGAATCATGGCACAAAGCTCAAGGAATCTATCAAGGTGATCAATAGGATCTTCACTTGGAGAACCCGAAAATTATTCCGCTTGTACCATTCTAGTGTATTGAGGATGAATGGTAAAGTTGGTTTCCGTGACGGGTAGCAAAATCCCTCCCGTGAGCTCGTAATCCTCAGGATTCCCAAACTCACGAAACAAAACATCATCTTCTTGCCTCACCATTTCCTCGCTTTGAGAACTTGAAGACCAAGAATCACTCTCACTATCAACAATAGCACCAAGACCTCGGACCTCTTCTTGAAAAAGTCTTCGGACTTGTCTCAAAGTGCGGTCGATTTCGTGGTCAATGTAGTGTGTCGGAGGTCCTTGAGATCTCCTTTGAATCCACCAAAGCTAAGCAAACAATTAGAAATGACTAGCAAGAGAGTAAAGGAACAAAATAAAAAGCAACAAATCCAATAATAACACAATAAGAGTGCAAAAACAAGTCGTTTCCCCGGCAACGGCGCCCAAAAATTTGATCGAGGAACAATAGGTCGTTAGTCTACTACCCAAGATCAAATCAACAATTTATAATCCTAACCTAACTCTACAATTTTACACTAGATAGCGGTAAGCTAGGGTCGAACCACAAGGAAACGGGGTATTGCACAATCAAGGTGAAATAAAGAATCTATTGCAAGTAACAAGGGGTATATTGGTTTGTTTTTGAGAATATCCAAGATTAAACTATCTACTAAGAAGTGATTAAAACAAGCAAATAAAGGAGTTAAACTAGAGCCACTAAAATAAAGATGAAAGACAAGATTTCAATGGAAATATGATCAAAAACACTAGGGAGAGGAGGTCCCAATCATGATCTACTAAGACAACTATGATAATCATCATGGATTTATAATAAGGAGTATAAACTCTACTAAACATGATAATTCTCATGCAATCACTGAAAGCAAGTCAAGGAAATCGATCAGACCTAAACTAGATCATTTTCATGCATCTAATCTAGAACTCAAATATTGGGGCTAAAGGTGCACAACAATAGCTCCAAGCATAATAAGCACAAAATCATCAACTAAAGACAAAACCCAATCAATCATCAATGTAAACTCAATCAATTATGATTTTCACCCCCTTCCCTAGCTAGAAATCTATGCTAGAGAAAGGAAACTAGCCATATCAACTACACTAACACATGTATTCAATCCCAACAAAACTAAACATGATTCAAAAGCAAAGAAAAGGCAATAAAATAAGTAAAAAGCAAGAATCTTTATGGAAATAAACACTATTAAGCGCAATAAAACCAAATAAAAGATAAGGGATAAAGAGATTACTATTATTAAACTTGAAGGATTAAGCAAACATGGACTAGTTGTATTGAAAAGATGAAAGCTTGAAGAAAACTTGAAAATATCTTGATTACATCAATGGAAACTTGAAGGTTAAGCTATTTTCTCTCTCTAAAATCTTGATGTTCTCTCTCTACAATGTTTTTCAATGGAATAGTGAATGATAGTCAAAAGTTGTCATCAAATTCAAGCTAAAGACTATATATAGTTTCTTGCTTAAAACAAAGAAAATGGGTGAGGGAGAGGCCTCTCTAGCAAGGCTGTCGCGCCCTCTCTGATGTGGGTACGTAGTGAGAAAAACCGAGCTCGCCGCGCCCGCGACTTTGAATGTCGTGCACGCAGCCACCTATGCTGCGCCCGCAGCCTTTAGCTGCCGCGCCCGTGGCCATCAGGGTCGCGCCCTCTCCTTGCCATCTCCCAGCCATCTCCAGAAACTAGGTGTTTAGCTCAGGACCTTTGTCCGCTCCCGCAGCTCTAACACCCGCACCCGCGGCTTGCTGTGGCAGCGCGCCCTCTCCCCTTTTGCATTTCCTTTCCTTGGAACAAGCAACTCTAGCAACTTCGACTCTGCTTAGAATTTTAATTCCGCTCAAGATTGCTAGGAGCTATCAAAGCGATCAAATAAAGGGTAAAAAGCAAAAGAAAAGATAAAAGGAAAGGAAAAACACGAGAAAGAGTGAAAGTAACTAAAATAAAGGTAAAAATGGTAAGAAGAGGTACAAACAAGTGACAAATAAGGGGAATTCACTAGTGAAAAAGGGTGAAATGGTGGCATAAACATCACTCATCAAGAGGGAAGTTTTAGGGGTTGGTTTCGTGTTTGCTAATTAGGGTTTGATCTTACTGATCACTGAATATTCTATTTAACCCTAGGCACCTAGTCTGTTTATAATCTCATTATAATAAGACTAGGAAGCAAAGCCTAAACCCTCTAAACCTACCCACATGGTCGACCACCTAGGGGATGAGGCCCATCATCGGCCTCTTCCTCCTATGCTTAATCTAGGCCCTTTGTATGACTTTATAGAATCCGTTCAATTAAGCTTTGGCCTATTTTACTAGCCCAAAGATCGTTAGTGTATGGGATAGCTCCCGCTAAGCTATCACCAGGCTCCCGGCCTGACTCATGGGGTGCGCACTTACCGCTAGAAGGACACTCAAAGGGGCTCACCAGCTCGATAGAGTCAGCCCGCAGGTTGACCAAGTAAGACTCTCCACAAAGGAGATCGTACACCTATAAATAATGGATAAAGTACAACGGAAAAGAGGTTAGACACACAAGTTATTACACCTTCTCTATCTCTCTAAGTACGCTTTTTCTCTCTAAACACATTCTAACTTAAGAATCGGAGGGGGGTTCCTCGAGCCACCCCTGAGGGCACTCACGTGTGTTACCTTGCGCAGGTTTCTAGCTGGACCCAGCTTGCCCCAGTCAGAACCATTGGATCCGGACCCGGAATAATTGACGCTAGAAGGAGGGGACGGATCATCACAACCTTAGGTTCGCCAACTGAGCAGGGACCAGCTAGTTAATCGCCATGGCCGGAGAGGAAGCAGCGCAAACACCAGTTTCCAAAGTCATTGAAACCAGTCAAACACCACAAAAAATAGCGTCAGTAACCATCAATCCTAAAGGATCAACCGAAAAACCCAAATCAAATGTATCTTAGAAAACCAACCCCGTCGGATCAACATCTGGTATGATTAAAGCAGTGGTAAAACCAGTAGATCCGGTAGGATCCATTTCTTCTTTTAAGTTCGGAATTCCAGTGACAGGTCCGAACAATGAACCTATCATTCAAACGCCAGTAACCTAGAAATCTCAGCCTGTCAATATGCCAGCCATCCTTCAAAACCTCTCTAAGTTCATCAAGGAGTAATTAGCGGCGATGACGGCAGTACTCACCAATCTTGGCAAAGGGAAAAGCTCCACATCAGTAGCTGCTGCTACAAAACCATTCGCTAAGAAGGCTGCATCTCCAACTCTCACCCCAGAGCAAAAGGAGTTGATCTAGTTAAGGAAGAGGGTGCTAGAGCTGGAAGCCTGAAATCTGAACCAGGAGTAGGGAGAAGATGCAGACACGGATAAGGGCATCCTAGAGGTACGAGCCACTTGTAGCAGGTCACCGATCTCAGAGCGAGGGCCAAGCCAGGATAGGGAAAAACGTGCGCGGATCTAGGTGATTCCAGATTATTCCCCATTTTGCAGGGAGATTCTGGAGGAGTCGATGCAATAGATCAAACTGCTAAGCTGTAAGTACAATGGTACAACAACACGTAAGAACCATGTCTCAACCTTCGAGAATCACATGATGCTATACACCATGACGGACTCAGTCTGGTGTAAGGCATTCCCACCGACCCTGGAAGGACTGGCCGTCGAGTGGTACGACGCCATTCCAAAAG